GGGGGGGGCGGGGGGGCGCATTCGCCCATTGCAGAGGGGGCGCAGCGGGTGCGCCACCCACGTGCTCATTGAAGCCGTTGCCAAAGCCGAGGATGCAGCGGCCGGCCAGGATCATCGCTGTGTTGACAGAAAACACCTGTTCACCATGCGTGGCCGGCAGGCCGGCACAGGAGCCCAGGAACGCACACCGGGGCACGCGGATGAGCGCCGAGGAGTACAACAGATAGGTCAAGGGACGGGGGCGGGGCGACCAAGAGCCCCCCACCGCGCGGCTGCCTGTGTTGCGCCGCGGCGGCTGGCGGGCTGGTGCTGGACTGCGAGCGGGCGATCGTTAGGCTGGCGGGGGCTCCAGGCGGCGAGGGCACCAGCCGAGATTGCAAGGTGTGTGCGCTCGGCAGGGTGAGGGGCACGCACCTGAATCATGGCCCCGAGTATGGTGAAGGCAGCGCACAGCTGCAGGGAGCTCTGGGGCCGAGCGGGAGCGCGTGGCGCAGCAGGCGGGCGGTCACGCCGAGGAGAAGTTGAGCACAGCACAGTCTTGGTTGCATCCCAGAAGCTGCCTCGATGGGGTCGAGCGGGAGGGGAGAGCAGCATCAAGGAGCTCAATCGTCTAGCACCCCTGTCGAGTTCTGCCAAACCTGCCGACCTCGCCCCCGCCCCCTGCCCGGTCTTTGCTTGGGGCGAGGCGCCTCACCAGCCGCCCGAGGTGCCTGGACGTGACGCTGCTCGCCGCCGCCCCCAGCAGGTCAAACGGGAAGAATATGGCCGTGTACGTGCTGAGATCCGGGGTGGCGTCTTGGAATAAGAACGGGCGGTCGGCATGGGAGATCGGCGGGGCGGCCTCGGACGGGTGCTCGACAGGGGACAAGGGCAGCGAAAGGGGAGGAGGGGGGGCACACCGCGCCGGCCCGCCTACCGTCAAGCCTCTGCGGCCGGGACATTTTCAAGCAACCCTTACCTGCACCTGCTGCTGCGCCCGTGGCGGCCTGGAGGGTTCCAACCAACTGCCGCCCCCCGCCTCTGGATTGTGAGCCCCCGCCGATGCGGCACGGCCCTGCTGGGCTGATGGGACCTCCGCCGCGGGCCCGCTGCTGCTGTCCGTCCACACAGCTGACATCTGGCGTCTTTCCTGCCGATCTGCGGCACGGCAGCCACCTGCGCAGCTGCCCACGCCCCCGTCGTCACCTCGACTCACATGCGCAGTAGGGCGACGCCGCCTCGCGTTTCGCCAGGTCTGCAGGCGGTTGCAAGGATGGGCGTCAAAGCCTCGGCTTTTGCTGCGCGGCAGGGCGGCGATCGCGGCGACAGCTGCAGGCTCGCGCTTGCTGGCCCGGAAAGCGCGGTGCATTGCTGTTCCCTGGTCTTGGCTGACGCCCGGGCTGACGTTATGACGCGCTCTCATCTCTCACATCATCACAATGCACACAAGGCCACACACTCATGCACACACACAGACAAACACACAGACAAACACACATGCACACGCGTGTGCATGCGCACCGACACGCAAACACGGCAAAGCAGTCTAGCGCCCCCACCTGGGTAGAATTTTGCCAGGAAGGGCTTGAATGCAAACACACCCCCTGCCCGGCGGCGGGCACGTGCACGCAAACAGCGGCCACAACGTCAGCGGGCCGCAGCACCTGCATGTGACGGACTGCAGGCACAGCCCGCCCCTCGGCCGCGCGGTAGGGCGCCCGCCCGCCGCCACGTGAGTCAAAGCGTCAGGCTGCCATGCAACTGATTGCTGCCGAGAGCCCATCAGCCTACCCGTGATCCCCGAGTCGTATCCGCCAATTATATGCTGAAGGGCGCCCAGAAAGCCTGCACGCGCGCGTTGCATGGCGGCCGCAAACGCGGGCACAGACGCAGTGGGGCGGAGTGGTCGCTGCGTCAGCGGACAACTGGTTGATGCGACCGCGCGTCCAGTGAGCAGCATATGCAGGTTCGGCGGCCGGCATGGCTTGTGTGGTGCTACTCGGCGCCTCCCGATCGCAGTACCGTCCTGCTATCGCTGCATACAAGTACCAAGCAGCAGCGATGCAGCATAGCGGCGTCATTGCGCGGCGTCATGCCGCTGAAGCGTCGCACCGCAGAACAGAACGTAGAGCGTGAGCTTGTGCTTGAAACCGAGCTTATCTGCGTCCAACCGCTCTTCTAAAACTAGCGGCGCGCCTTCATCACTCGCCCTTTGCTTCTTGCCGTGCCTACCGGCCCCCATCGTTGCGTCTTTCCCACGGCGTTGTAGGGGACAGCCGGGTGATGTACCACATGGATCTCGAGCGTATGTCGTCCAGGCAGCATGAAGCGGGCGCGGGCGACTGTCCAGGGTGACCGCGAGTGACAACACAGCAGCTGCTGCTCGCTCGCATGGCCGACTGTACAGGTCGCGGGCACAGGGTCACGCGGCAGGACGGTGCAACACAGCCCTCATGCAATTAAGGCGAGTGGCATGCCCCAAAGCCTGAGTGCGCACATTGCCCTTGGTCAGTGCAGCCCACAAAACGGCCTTGCCCTCGAGATTGGGGGTTTGCTAGACGCTGCAGTTTGTTACGGGTTCGCCACCGCCGCTTATCCCCAGCCATGCATATGGACCCATTTGTGATTGCAACCTCCTCATGCGCCGGGCAAGCGGGAGGATACCGCATGCAGCATGTGCCTAATCGATAGCCCATGCAGCGCGCAACCCATTACACGAGCCTCCGCCACCTGAGGCCACAGGCAGCTGCGGTGCCACCTTGCCGGCGGGGTCGCGCGCGGCTGTCAGCTGGCGGGCCGCTGCTTTTCCACCACCGCGATGAACTCCTGCACCTTTTCAGGCGACGCCAGCGTGAACATCGCGTTCTGGATCTGAAAGCAAAAAACGCATGCGCCAAAGGGGGGGGGGGCGGCAGCGGCGACGGAGTCTACAGTCCATACGGGCGTGGCGCTGAATGTTGGTGGGCCCCACGAAGGCCGGCCCCCGCTTCGCCGCGCCGAGCCGCCGACCAATCACATACGGGCGTCGAGCTGCAGCGGCATTGAGTGCCGGCGCCAGGCAGGACGCTGACTTGGTCCCAAGCAGCACCGCCATGCTGCTGGCGCGGCACCGAAGCAAGCAGCAACCGAGGGGACCCGCACCAAACCAGGGGCGTCCCACCCACGGCGCCCCGAACAAGGCGGGCGCCAGGGAAAACGCCAGGCGGCGCGCACCTTGTACTTGGCCTCAGTGGCCGCGTTGGGGTCGCCCTTGTCGCCAGCTGGCGGCAGCTCGTCGTCGCGCACCATGAGCGACCCCGACACGCGCTTCAGGTTTGCGCCCGTCGCGCCAGCGGGCTGCAGCAGGCGCGTGCTGGCGAGGACGGCCGAGTACACCAACTGCTTGCCCTGTCGCAGCCACAACCAGCCAGGGCGTTCCTTGGTCAGTTTGGTGACAATTCAGTCCGATTCAGCACCGGCTGGCCCTGAGCCTGGTTGAACGCAGGCCAGCATGTTGAAGGGGCGGCTGCAAGCCGCGCAAGCAGCTGGGACGGCCACCGCCGCCGCAGCCCGCTCTGCGAGGTCGCGCTGCAAGCGCAACATGGCCGCTCTTGCTGAAAAGACCGCAAAGGGGCCAGCAAAACCAGTTCCCCCCTCCGTAACCACTACCCGCCGCCCCAGCCGGGCCTCCTACCGCGTCCGTCGTGAACATTATGTACGCCTTGTCGCCCCCCGCCTTGAACCGCCGCACGCTCAGCTGCCCGATGCCCCGCGGCTCCCACGCGCCCGCGCCGCCGCCGGCGGGCTTCTCTAGGACCACCAGCTTGCTGTTGGCCTTGAAGAGCACCTCAAAGGTCTCCTCGTCCACCGCCAGCTCGGGTTTGTAGGCCTTGGGGCCACCCTCCTCGTCCTCAGCGCCGCCTGCATCGCCGCCGTCCGCTGGGGCTGTGTGTGGATGTGTGTGTGTGTGTGTGTGTGTGTGTGTGTGTGTGCATGTGTGCATGACATGGCCAGAAGTGAGCAGAAGGCGTTTGGAATTTGATGTCAGGCGCTTTATCCCTGCCCGTTCTCATCTGTAGGTTGCGTAATTGTGCCGTTGCATGCGTGTGCATGTTGGTGTGCGTGCAGACCTCCACAAATTCTTCCAGGGGCTCAATACTGAACGGCACCACTGCCATTTCAAACCGTCTGCCTATCTAATCAGCATGTGCGCGTGCGATCAGCGCCGCCCACAGCACGGGCCCCTCAGCCGCACCTGCCGCCGCGCCGCCGTTCGCCGCAGGTGCCGGGAAACCAAACCCGCCCCCCGCCGCCGGCGCCGGCGACGGCGTGAACCCACCGCCGCCGCCGAAGCTGAACGTTGCCGGCGCCGGCGTGTGCCCGGCTGTGGACTGGGTGCCGCCGCCGAACGTGAAGGCGGGCGGCGTCGACGCGCCCGGCGTCGACCCTGGGGACGCCCCTGCTGCACCGAACCCGAAGAGGCCGCCACTGCCACTACCCCCGCCGCCGCCGCCCCCTGCCGCGGCGGCGCTGCTGCTGCTCGGGGTGCTGCCGAACGCGGCTCCCGCCGCGCCCGCCCCGAACGTGAACGCGCCGCTGCTTGCCGCCGCAGGGGCGGCCCCGAACGTGACGGCGGGTTTGGGTGCCCCTCCGGCGGCGGAGCCGAATGCAAAGCCGCCTCCTGCGCTGCCGCCGTTCCCGGGTGTGCTGCTGCTGGCTCCAGCAAAGCCGAAAGTGGGCGTGCTGCTGCCGGCCTTTTCGCCCGGGGCCTCTGCGACCATGCGGGTAGGGTTGGGAACGTGTGAGGGATTGCGCAGCCCGGACCGGACGCCAGCAGGTTATTGCACCAGCCTGCGACTGCGCCGAACATGGTTGTAAGGCCGCATCGTGGGGCACGTGCTCCTTGCCTTGTGGCTGCAGGACGTCGTCAAATTCCTTGGTCAGCTCGTCTGCATAGCGCACATATGCCCGGGCGCCGTCGCTCCAAAGCTCGCTCCCATGCTCCGATGCCTGTTGCCGGACCCAGCTGAGGGCGTGCGGGAAAGGGGCAGCGGTTTCAAATGCGAGAGAGGCTGTACGCACGCACACTGGAAGCCAGTGACGGCGACGCGCTGCAAGCACAGGCGGAACGCGGCGGTCGGGCGCCTTACAGGCGCACTGGTCACCTTGCATACTGCTTGTTGAGGGACTGGAGGTGCGCAGCAAACTGTGCCGCCCTGTCCGGACCATCCTCTTCATCCGCCTGCAGTACAACCCGATCAAGACGCAATGCAGCACGTTTGTGTCCTGAACTTGCTATTTTGTCCGCGAAGAAGGGCTCTACACCGCCTTCAAGCGCCGCGATCCTCCCTCGATCTGAGGCGCACCTCGCTGGCCTTCCGCTTCATCGCGTTTCTTTTTTACAAAGCTTATCAGCTGCTTGCGTTGGTTTACGAACACTCCAGATCAGGATCCTCACGGTCAGATACCGAAGCTTTTTACATTCACTGCAGCCAGCTAGACGTACTCGGGGTATGATTGCAGGTGCTGAGGGTTTGGCCGTCAGAGGCAGCGGCGCACCATTCCGTAGTCAAGCAGCGTGCACGCCTGGGAACGCGCCCGCGCACTTGCCGCCTGCCGGACAGTCAATCCAGGCCAATACCAGCACAACGGCTGGAACATCTGCGGCCACGCCGCAAGCTCGCGAGCAAAAAACAGGACGGCGCCAAATAACCAGTGCAGCAGGGCAGCCAGCCACACTCCACACCCAACGCCGCACCAAAACCGCCCAGCATGCTCAGGCCAGCCTCTTGCGCAGGTACGCGCGCAGCTGCCGCTTGCGCGAGCACACCGCGATCGTCATCTCGTCGGGGTCGACGCCGTCGTCAGCCATGCGGTCGATAACGTCCAGGGCGCGGTCCGTGTCCTCTGTGCGCACGCACACCTCCAGCAGTGCGTTGAACGAGACTGCAGCGGTGTGCAGGTGCGCCGGCGGAGGTTGTGCGTGCTTGGCCGAGGACTTCTCCGCAGAAATGCAGATCTTTGACTGACATGCGCAGCTTGTGTGACCACATGTCCGCCACGTGTTGTTGATTGCGTTGTCAACCGCAGGTATTGCCCACCCAGCACCGTCATGGCCGGCCGCGCCCATACGCACGGCTCGTCCCCCCTTGTCTGCCCCGATGTGGCACACGCGCTATCAAAGCTCGCCCAGCCTGCACCCCAGCACCCACCGGCCGAGGGCTCCAGGCTGAAGCGCGAGCGCATCCTCGTCAGCATGGCATCTATTTGGTCCCACTGCGGCGGGTTCTTGGCGCCATAGCCCCGCAGCAGCACCGCAAACGTCACCTCGTCGGGCGCCAGGAAGTCACCTGAAGTGACGTGGCGGAGGTGGGCGGGGTGGTGGCAGCGTTGAGGGCCTGTGCTTCCAAAACTGCACATGCGTTGACAGGGCAAGGTCGGTCTGTAAGACCTGATGACCCACACACAGCCCACGCACCGCAGACCGCCGCAATGCCCTCCTAGCAGACTTGCTGCTCCTCGCCAGGCCGCCCTCACCCTCACCCTCACCGGGCAGGAGGCCCCCTCCCCCTGCACCAGCAGCAGGCAGCCCAGCCCCACTTCAACAGCCCCGAGCGTGCACCCCAGCCGCTCCCTCACCGAAAAGCTGCTCAAACACGCTCTCCGCCATCTCCATGTTGCCGCTCTGCGCGCATGCCGCGACCAGCGCGGTCCCCGCCTGCGTGTCGGGCTGCACGCCCAGCCTGGAAAGGCCGGCCAGCTCCTGAATTGCCTCCTTGAGCTTGCGCTGCGCGCCTAGCGCCTTGATGCGGCGCGTGGCCTCCGCCCTGACCTCGCGAATGCGCTCCTCTTCGGAGACCTGGGGGCAGGGGCGGCGGGCGCGGTGAGGGCGGCTCGCTTTCGCAGCGTCGTGCGGGGACAGCGACGGCCGCCTCGCATGGGTTGGGGGTACATGACAAGGCTGCAATGCTATGGCAGAAGACGCGAATTGGGCTTAGTGATACTAAAATTCCGTTCGTGTGCCGCGGCCACAGCGCACCGGCAGTGGGCTGAGGCCTTTGCATGCGGTGGGGCCCCATTCAAATTTGGGGCCCTGGAGTTCACGTCGTGCATGCTCTGTCGCCACCCGTACATCGACCGATTGCAGGGGCGGTGTACACTTTGATACCCACCTGCGATGCCTCAGCCAAGACCGCCAATGGAGTGCGCACCCGGCGGCTGCCTCGACCTGCTGCTGATGTGGGGCGCATGTGCAGCAGAGGCGGCGGCACGCTGCGTGCCGCTGCTGCGAGGCTGCCGCAGGCGCATCGCTGTAGCAGCTGCTGCCGCATCACGTATGAGGACATGGATTCACTAGTTTACGATTGGTATGCTGAGTAGGACAGATAGGCCCCGCTGGCTGATTATTAGTGGCTGTGGAGGCTGTGGTTGGGCGGCGCAAGCCAATGGGCATGAGCGAACAGCTGTAAGTAATACGAATTCGTTGCTTTGGTGCTTCGGAGTGCCTGGGCGGCCCACACGCAAGTCTTGCCAGTGTGTGTCACCCGGTGAGCGAACACACACAAAACGCGGCGGCCCGCTTTCAAAAAGCAAGCGCAGGTGTAGCTTTATTACATATAGCGTCACCTGGGAGCTATAGGGCCTCCCAGATCGCCGATCAGCGCATGCATTGTCGCGGCGGGTCCCTGCCGAGCAGCCCTGCCAGACAGACGTCAAGGGTTCAGCAGGGGGCTATTAATCCTCACATTAACGGCGCGATCGCCTCTGCAGCCCACGACCGCGTTTCGAGAGCAGCAGCCAGCCCGACCCCGACTGCAGCCCAGAGCTCCCACAAGCAAGCAACAGCAGCCATGGGCCTTTTCGGAAGGAAGGCGGCCGCGGCTCCCTCCACAAGCGAGCCCGCCAGGGGCGCCAGCCTCGTCGCCAAGGCAACCACTGTGAGAACTTGCCGCTAGGCCGCCGCTGCCGCGCGCGCTCTGCCCTGTCTCCCGCCCACAATGATGAGCACAAACAAATCGAAAACCGCAGAAGGAGCCCATGACTGAGCAGGAGGTGGAGGACCTGGTGCTTGCGCTGAACAAGATCGAGGTGCGGAGCGCGCCCCAGGCGGCAGGGCAGCATGTTGGCGGCCGCGCAGAGCAGCACAGACCACAATGGGCTTACATATCATGCTGCATTGGGCCTTCAAATCAAGAACCGTACCAGCATGCAACCAACAAGGATCCTGCACCTGCAACGGGGCCAGCAGCCACGCAAGCAGCCACCAGCAATGCGGCGTGGAGTGGAGAGCGGCGCCTGGCGCGCGCTCGCACCCCCTCTCCTTACCCCCTCCCCCCCGAAACAACCATGTAGGCCGTCAAGTTTGGCGAGTTCAAGCTCAAGAGCGGCCTGCTGTCCCCTGTGTATGTCGACCTGCGCGTCATCGTGTCGTACCCCGACGTGCTCGAGAAGGTGCGCGGCAGCAGCACGCGGGCTTTCGCGCAAGGATCGCGTCTGGGTGCAGGTGGTCTGGGCGCCTGTTGCTGCGGCTCGCGGCCGATTCAGGTGCATTGCTGCCGGCGAGCCAGCCCGCTTCCGCGGCCGCCGCACGCAGCGCTGGCCTGGCCTGGCCCCTCAGTTGGTCCCGTGACCTTTCGAGTCCAGTCCCGCGCGGCGCGGCGTGACGACGAGCGCGGCCCCCCGCCCGGCACGCGCCCGCCGGCCCCCAGGTGTCGCGCATGATGTACTCGTGTGTGAAGGGCGTGGCCTTCGACATCATGTGCGGCGTGCCCTACACAGCGCTGCCCATCGCCACATGCATGAGCCTCGGGTTTGACCTGCCGATGGTGATGCGGCGCAAGGAGGTGAAGGATTATGGCACCAAGAAGGTGCGAGTCATGGGGCCGTGCTGATTTGGTTTTGCTGGCGGGCAGCACGTCCGTCGTCTTTTCATTTGGTGATGTGTGGGCCAGGCCTCGACCATGTCCTTTAAGGGCCTCTCTTTGCACCACTTCCTCACTCGCACATGCACGCACGCGCACATACGCACTAACACACACACACACACACACACACACACACACACACACACACACACACGCACGCACGCACGCACGCACGCATGCACACGCATACGTTTTATGCTCATGCCCTCCCGACCAGGCCATCGAGGGGGCGTACAAGTCTGGCCAGCGCTGCCTGGTGGTGGAGGACCTGGTCACCAGCGGGGCCAGCGTGTTGGAGACACTCGAGCCACTGCAGGCGCGCCCCGGCTGCTTTTCCGCGCCCGCGGTTGTGCGGCCACTTATGCGGATTTGGGGGCGCGTGCGTTTCATGGCTTTGTCCCGGGGCGAGGTGCCAGCAAGGTTTTGTGGGTCCATGATCATGCCTGTTATCCTTCCTCTCCCTGGTGTGTGCACTTTTTTTTGCCAACCAAGACGAGCATCCCTCTCCCCACGCCAAGCTTCCCGCCGAACTTCCCGCCGAACCTCCCGGCCCGCAGAAGGAGGGCCTGATCGTTGAGGACGTGGTCGTGCTCATCGACAGGGAACAGGGCGGAGAGGCCCACCTCGCGGCCAACGGCCTGCGCCTGCACGCCGCCTTCAAGCTCAGCGCCATGCTGTCCGTGCTGCTGCGGCACGGGCTGGTCAGCGAGGAGACAGCGGCGCGCGTGAGGGCGTTCATCGCGGAAAACCAGACCGCGCGGCCGGCGGCGGCCGCGGCGGCGCCGGCGGCTGTGGCGGCGCCAGCAGCGGCTCCAGCGAAGCCGAAGCGGTGAGCTGGCGGGCGTTTGTTTGAAAGGGCGGGGCTGCCGCCATGCTGCTGGTTGCCTTTGCCTGGTGGGCTTCCATTGTGTTGGTTGTCCACGGTTGGGCGTGATTGTGGGAAAAGCGGCCTGCCGCCGCCGTTGCGCATGCAGCCGCATGTGCTGCTGCCCACACTCCTGCCTCCGCACCTCGGCGCGCTGACGTCAACCCCTCGCCAACAGCTCTGCGGCCCCTCCCATCCCCATCCCGCTCCCTGTGCTGGCGCCATCAGCCTGACGTACGAGGCGCGCGCGGCGCTGGCCCAAAACCCCATGGGCAAGGCGTGCCTTGAGCTGATGGCGCGCAAGAAGACCAACCTGTCGGTGGCGGCTGATGTGGACACGGCCGAGGAGATGCTCGAGATTGCGGACAAGGTGGGGGGGG